GAGAGTAGAAAAAAAAGAGAGAGAATGACAGGCTGACAGGATGAGAGAGTGAGAGAGAGAGAAAGTGTGTGAGAGAAAAAGAGGTAGATACATGAGAGGAGACAAAGATAGAGAGAGTGAGAAATTGGAAGAGAGAGAGAAAGGGAGAGAGAGAGGGAAAAAGTGTATGTGAGAAAAAGAGGTAGATAGATGAGAGGAGACAAACATAGAGAGAGTGAGAAAGAGGAAGAGAGAGAGACGGAGAGAGAGAGAGAGAGAAAGTGTCTGTGAGAAAAAGAGGTAGATAGATGAGAGAAGACAAAGATATGGAGAGAAAGAGAGAAAGAATGATTGATTGTGTTGAGTGTTTTTTGGCCCGCAAAGAAAAGTAATTTAAAAGAAGGTAATCGGTGGGATTCTCAAGTTTGCAAATACGAGCATTTATCGTCAAGAAGAATATGAAAGTAAGAGTCGTCCAGTTACTTTCACCGGCATCCCGTTCAGAGCGATCCGTGAAGGTCGGCGAAAATAAACCTTCCGGCATAGCTAAATATGAAACTAAATGATAAAGATAAAAATTAATGAATATTTACAATGAGAGGTAATTTTATACATAACTAAGGATAAAAACTTACATGGTTTCCGCCGAGGGCAAGAAGATCAGAAACAATGATAAAATTTTGTGTAAACTTTTATCAGGCACAGTTTAATTTTGGCAATAAAGAGTTGATAAAAAACGTTTAAATGTAGTTTCACATGTTAGTCTATTTAAAATTTTAGCTTCAGTTATTTATCAAACATTTTGGACGAATCAGTATTAAAAATACATTATATGCTCCAGTGACGTTGCTGGTGTGGTTTATTTTGATCTTAAAAGCCAGATTTAAAGTAATGATAGTAAATTAGAGAATCAAAATATTTTTTCCCTTTATTTGGCCCGGCGAGGACAAAAAATGTTCTATTGTTTTTCCAGTGTGCTATTCTAAGGTGTCGCGTATCCAAGCTTGTTCAAAACAGTCCAGTCAACATCGACTATGCCATCCGAACGAAAACATTCACTTTACACAGAACGTTGAGTAAACTTTTGTACCAGGCAACTGAAATCATTATTGTAAATAAAAAGACGAAATACTAACAGGCATTTTTTGGACCAAGGCCGTTCGGACTGTGAGCCATTCTTACTAGGATGGCCGTGAAGCATTTAGTTTCACGAGCTCGACAATGTAAGCCTGTTTTCAAAGGAATGCTGAGCAAGGACTATAAAATTTTAAAAAATTAAGAATTATTGTATAAAATACAATCGTTACATAATTGTTAAAAAATTTCGAGTTCCAAAATTGCATAAATGACATAAACCTAATGGGGTAAGAAAACTTCTTCTTTACCACAAAATAAACAAACTATTAACTAATAAAGACTAATATTTAGTGTTTGAACAAAAAGCAACTGTAATTTTCTTTCATGTTCCCTCTCTCGCAAAATAAGAATACTGAAAATATTAATGAACATGGAATCTGGCTAAAACGTAAAAACATAAAAACATAATAATTGCAAAAAATTGATTAATTAATTATTATAAATAAACAAATAATATCATATAAAATCTTTATATCGTACTAATTCATCTCCTCTTTTTGCCCATATAATTTTCAATGGCAAGATTTTAACAGTTTCAAACAGCACTTATACATTAATCTCAATCTATAAAGCAATTTTATCATTAAAACATAAAAAATAAGATTGTTTACGTAATGAATAACAAAACAATAGCTCACCGTTATAAAACCAACGATTTATATTTTTAGCACTTTATTATGATTAGGCTTTCTAGATTACACCCTGGATAAACAAGCATACATTGTTGATAAGATAAAACATTCGGCGGTTTTTCGCCGACGATTGTTTATTAAAATAATTATAATGATTCCATATATTTAATCTGTGCAAATATGGCTAAAATTATACAGACAACTATGTGATTTGAATTTCTTAACTACAGTCCATATGAAACAGGCAATGATTTTTATTGATTTGATGCATTTAAATATTTATCAATCATACATAAAAAAATAATTACTTCAAAAAGTAAATCTTAAAATTCCATGTTTTGATGCTTCATTTTAATGTTACAGTCGTCTGGCCAGTATCAAGTACAATTATAGTAAGACCGTCTCAAAGGTCTTGAAAAATTATGAAAGATCTAAGTCCGTAAAGTTTGAAGAAGAATTCTAGTTGATATTGATCGACCTCCGTAGTTTAAATTGATGTATTGGATCTTCTTGAGGTCATTTTACATAATGTAAAATGACCTCAAGAAGATCCAATACATCAATTTAATCCGTAAAGTTTCTTTAAATGAAAATTCATATATAAACTCTTACATAATAAACTATTATGTTATACAAGTATGAAATTTGTAAAATTGGACTGGAGTATCAACTTCAGACGAATTCAACTTGTCAAAGTCTTACATTCTTAGTTTTATATTTTGAAATAAATTCTTTAATATGTGTTTATTAGTGACCGGTTGTTTCGTAATTTGTTGAATTCGTGAGGCGCGGTCAAGAATGTGGTAGTTTAGAAAAACACCTTTTTTTTGCCGATATTTCGACCTTTATTTCGGTCATCTTCAGGGCCTAGGTAAATTACAAAACATACGTTGGTTGGAAAAAATTCAATTTAAGATGTAAATATAAATTTTGAACGAAGGATTTCATACTCACATAAAGTGCGGTGCTATTCTTGTGGTGTCATATTTGTGTGTGTGAAAGTGTTGTGAAACGTAAATTTGTACTCTGCTGTTTTTACATGTGTGTGACACGATGGTGGACACGATAAATCTTGGAAAATTTCTTTGATCATTGCTTATTTAACTGGACCTCCAAATAATAATTAATAAAATTAAGGTTTAATAGTTTTTGATTTATAATGTTTGGCGTAGGCCGAGTTTGCATATATCTTCTGTAATTGATGCTGTGTGTGTTATGTCATTGTTAATGTAAACCATTTCTAAAAAGTTGCGTTTGTATTTATGTGTTTAACCAATATGACACCACAAGAATAGCATCAACTTTAAGTGAGTATGAAATACTTAGTTGAAAATTTATATTTACATCTTAAATTGTATTTTTTTCCAATCAACATATGTTTTGTAATTTACCCAGGCTCTGAAGATGACCGGAATAAAGGTCGAAACGTCGGCAAAAAAATTAAAAAAAGGTGTTTTTTTTAAATTACATCATTCTTGACTGCTCCTCGCGACTTCAACAAATTATAAATTCTTTAAGTTGACAGTCATTTCACAGTTATCGTAAAGGTTTTGTTTTCAACTTTGAAAAATTACTGTAAGAAAGCTCTGAGACTAAATGAAAATCTCACACCAAGAAAAGGCAAGGGCGTTTGGCGCTTTCGAATTCACTTGACTCTCCCTGCCGTATTAAACCGGTTTCAAGTTCTTCGATCCTCTCGAATAACGATAATAACTTCTATGTCAAGAAGCAGAAATCTTAAATGGCGAAGAAAAAAGGAAAGCGTCATAAAATTGAACTTACGTTCTAGTTTTATACGATTTTTGATAATATTAAAAATGTATATAAGTGGGTTTTAGTTGTAATTCTTCTTCTAAGGAACGGTTAGCCGAGAATTGCAAACGCAGGAGGATAGAAGAGAGAGGCCAGATGCAGTGATTGGCATCCTCGACCCCCTTCTAAACACGGTTGTTCATTTTGTAAAAAAATTTGTTCTGGAAAACTTTAGGCGTTTTATTTCGTAATTTCGAATATTCTCCAGTTGTACTAAATTTTAAAACCGGCCACACATAACCACTTTTTATTTATTCGCTTTTGCAAAGACTGTTTTAGTGTAAGTTTTGGTTATAAAGCAATATTTGTTTTTCCAGTTGTTATTTTGAACTGTAAATTTTGATAGGAATATTGAACTACACATGAATGGAATATTTTTCCAGATAAGATATGAAACCAGAACTAACATTTTTTTAATAAGAGGAACAAATACTAGCCACTGTTTGAACAGTTGAAACTATAATCTTTTCAGAGTTGCAGGGTAAGCTGAGATAAGAAGTGTCCTCCGAACCAAAAATAAATTAAGGTCAAACATGCAATGGATTAAAAAAATGCTTTTATAATATAGAAACACCAAAACAATTAGTATTGTATTTATTTTAAATAGGGCATGCTCTAAGAAAAGCTGTTTTCGACGAAGTTCTTCATCTAAAATTCACTGTATATTTACAGTTTAGTCAAAAAGTTGTTTCAAGTAGATAAAATTATTAGTTTTTATTCACTAATTGTCGTGGTCGCTTTACCAATTAATATCTTTCAATTAATTAAGGATTTTAGTTGAGATAAAAAAATCAGTGTCACGAGCGGGATTCGAACCCACGATCTTCGGCTAGATACGCCGCTGCTGTACCACTTGAGCTATCGTGACCTCGATCCACTCGAACACCAACTTCCCATCTCAACCACACCTTTTGAATTTTCCCTCCTTTTTGCCATTTTTCAAATGTCGTGTAATCGGATTGGATTCTCGACGACAAATGAAATGGCCACGGAGAGCTTTAGTGAAGTATACTTCATTTTTAATCATTAAATTCACTAATTTCGTGGTCCGCTTGACGAATTAATATATTACAATTAATTAAGGTTTTTAGTTGAGATAAAAAAGTCAACGGCACGAGCGGGATTCGAACCCACGATCTTCGGCTTGATACGCCGCTGCTCTACCACTTGAGCTATCGTGACTTGGATTCACTCGGACACTAACTTCCCATCTCAACCTCATCGTATCTAGCCGAAGGTCGTGGGTTCCAATCTCGCTCGTGACACTGAGTTTTTTATCTCAACTAAAATCTTAATTAATAGAAAGTTTTAACGTTCAAATAAAAAACATTACCATTCATAATTTAAAAAAATAGGGTTTGAAAGCATCTTAAAGCAAAAATAAACTTTGGAGATAATACTTTTGTAAACAATTTGAAACAATAAAATCAATAACCACTATTAAAATATATTAGTGTTTATTATTTATTTTATTCTTGACTCGCAAGGCGTTTTGCAGAAAGAACTGAAAAGCCCGAGGCTAGGGGCCAATTTGTGGCCATCAGGCCACCAGTAAGGCGTGGTAGCGAGAAGCTACACGAAAGTCTTTCGGTCAAATCGCGACTTGTATTTTCCTTTAGATTTGACAACGTCCGGCGTGACGCTGGTGAGGAAGGCGTATTTGAGCATCCTGTCCGGAAATACGATCCCGAAGAGCTCGAGGAGGGCTGGGCTCTTTTTCACATTTTCACGGAAAGCAGTGTAGCTAAGTCTACCGTGCTTGTCGGTGTCCAGTTTTCTCATCAGCAAGTCGACCATGTCCTATAAAAAACACGGGTTAATTAGATTTATTGTACAAAAATAAAATCCAATAGTTTGAATTTTTGAAAAGGATCAAATCTTTAAAATTCTTCTCTCGCCCTAAGTACATATTTAAATATGAGTGAAATAGCCGAATCATAAAGCAAGAATAACTCACACTATGGTGATAAGACTACTAAAATCTGCTCAAATTTAATTTAACAAAGCCTCTTATTGAAACATCAGTGTAACGACCTTAATATTTATATAGAACGAAATTACAATACAATGGCGCATCAAAGGGCTATTAAGAATTTATTATACACTTGTTGTAAATCAGAAGTTTATTTTCAAAAATTTTGAACAATTGGGTTATTACAAAAAAGGATTAATGATTGTTATTGTGTTCGTCTTTAATTAAACGTTTGGCCTGTTTTCCTTTAGTTTAACCCTGACCTAATACGATTTAATACTCGGACAATAATTCGCCTGAGAAAGGCAGTCGTTTGTAAATAATTAATGTGATTGGCAGTAGATGTCGAGGTGATCATCTTTAAAGACAGAGTGATTCATTTGCAGGTATAAGATTTGTTTAAAACAAAACCCAATAAATCGACTAAATTGTGATATTGTGATAGAACCGATACCAATTATCTTTTCTTGTTGGTTTACCGATAACAGACCCCATCTCTGAATTATAAAGGTTATCCTACTATCAAATGTTTTAATAAAAGCCGACAGTCATCCAGAACATAAACGCGTAATCGAAATCAAAGTTTTTCAACTTGTGTTTATAAATAACTGTGTACATAATAAATAATATAATACATGTATAATTGTATATAAAAAATCAAGGCTAAGGCCAATTTGAAAGAAAAACACATTTTCTTGACGAGCTAGCTTCTAGGAATAAATCCCCTCCAATGAAGACATTGAGTCTATTATTTATAAATTACTTAATAATTAAATTAGTTAATAAATATGAACTATGATGAAATAGAAACATGTACATTTCACAATATTGAAACTGATGATGCGTGGGGGGGGGGGCACAGCAGCGCATCCTCAGTTCTCAGGACCATAAACATTTTTAACTGTATGTTTGTGTTATTTATACGAACAAATTTATTAGCGAGAATGAAGGGGTCAGACCCCCCCACAATAATATCGATTACTCGAGCTGAATAAGCTTGCATGTTTGTATTTAAATCTGTATTTGTAGCACAATGACTGTTTTTATTGGCTTGAATAAAACGGTTGAATGCAAACGGGCTGTATTTGTATCAGTGTGCTTAGTGAACTTGATTTATTGGAGTAGAAGGAGAGACACTGAGGAATTGCGAGTACTCTGGGGCTGTGTGAATGAAGTATGTGTGTTAATGTAACATATTAGCGTGAATGGAGAGGACTCCTTTTCCAATTACCTTGAGGATTCCAATACTACCATAAATATTTTTAACTGTATAATTATATGTATGTTTGTATTATTTATTGGAAATAAGAGCATATATTAGCGAGAATGAAGAGGGTCAGACCCCTCGATCCCCGAGCAATTCAGGCGCGAATGAATGTGGAATGTGAAATAACTGTATTTTGGTTCGAATAAAAAGGGTGAATGAAAAACAGGTCGTATTTGTGTCAACCCCGACGAATATTCGAGTACTCTGGGGTAGTGTGAATGAAGTAACGAAGTAAATGAAGAGAATGTAATTTATTGACGCTTCCAGTAAAGTAGTAAAACAATTTACATTTTTGGGATTGATCCCCCTTGGGCAATTTATTTTTGTCCGATGAAGTGTGTTCGACTTAAAAATTCTTAACTACTTTAGTTTATATCCAAAACAAACCCAATCAGTGGGAATGCCCTATATCTCTCTTCTTTGATCCTATATCAATATCCTTTGGTCTTTACGTTATTATAAGAAAAAAAAGAGAGGATGAAATCAACAAAATCCGAAAAACGTTTTATTTTATGTATCCGGTTCTAATTCATTTAAGGAGGCCAGTTTTGGGCCATTACGTGTAGGTTGTAGGGTTCTGAACTATAAAATTTCCTGTAGATCGCTGGAGTCGTTTAAAAAATTATTATTTTTACTATTTTCGAAAAACTATTTTTCGAGCAAGAAACCAAGTGTATATTTTTATAGAGTTTATATTTATATATATAGTTATTTTCATCGCGTCAAACCCCACATAAAAATGGGGAAATAAAAAAAATGATCTTTTTCTATCAAATAATCATTCTTAATTTTTTCGTTTTTTTTGTGGAAAAATCACACAAAAACAAATAACTTGCAACGACTTACTATTCTAAAAGGAACTTTACAGGAGTTTAATACCCTACCAAATACAAAAAGGCTTATACTTAGTCTCTGTGAATAAATTAGAATTGAAGATATAAAATAAAATGTTTGAGGAGTGTTTTAGATTTCAACGTTATTTTTTCACTTATAATGACATAAAATCTAAACGCTAACATAGGCTGAAAGAAAAGAAATATAGTCTGCTTTTCAATGGTTAAAATAAGCCGAAGGTCGTGGGTTCGAATCCCGCTCGAAACACTGAGTTTTTCATCTCACCCGAGACCTTACACAAAAAGAATAATTAATTGAAATTAAATTCACTAATTTCGTGGTCCGCATGACCAAATAAATTATTTTCAATTATTTAAGTTTTGGTTGAGATTAAAAAGTCAATGGCACGAGCGGGATTCGAACCCACGATCTTCGGCTTGATNGAGCAGCGGCGTATCAAGCCGAAGGTCGTGGGTTCGAATCCCGCTCGTGCCATTGACTTTTTTATCTCAACCAAAACCTTAAATAATTGAAATTAATTGAAATAGTTAAACTAACGTTGAATTTGGATAGAACAACAGAAGCCAAAAGAATTACTTCGTGCTAAATCCAGTTCAAAAATATTTATTGTTTTATTTCAATGAAAATTCGTATTTAATAATATTTCATGGTACATAAACAATCGGCTTTACAACGGTTACCGTGGACATTGGATAAAATCCAAATGAGTTATGAATTTTTAATTGGAACAATGCACTTCGACGAGAAAACCCCTCTGTGGCTGATCAAAGCCAAAAATAACCATTTTTGTTAAAAAGGGCTTTAAATGATGGTTAACATAAATCGTTGGTTTTTTAAAAACATTTTTTGCCTGCTTTACTGAAAGCGTATTTGAAGTTTTGTACCTTTCTATACATTGCATCTCATTGAATGCGATCCTGCTTATTACCTTGTTATCGATTGTAAAAAAACCTAAGCAACTGATATATAACGACTTTAAAAACATGCTAAACGAAGGTAGAAAATACTTAAAAAGTACTTAAATCACTTAAAATATTTTTCTTTTCTCGGCTACTGGGGCCCGAGAAATGCTTTATATTTTTCAACCTTATATTTTTAAACCAAAACCGTTTAATTCAAATCGGTGATCCGACGTCCGTATCTCTCTAGTAAGATATTTCTTGATCTCCAGTAATTCTTATAAATAAACAAAATACACAAATTGATTTAAAACTTATTTTCATTCAAAAGACAAAGAAAAAAAGCCGAAAAAAATTGTTAAAACAGCGAGATGTTGTGAAGAGCTGGGATTTCTGTTTTTGTACTTTTCTAGACATCGCATCTCATGGATGTGATTCTGCTTATTATCTTCTTATCGTACGTAAAAAACTAAGCGACTGGTATATAACAACTTTAATATCATGATTCTTCAGAAATCGTGAAATGCGGTTTGGTGTGATGTAGGTTTCAGAAAAACATTTTCTTTATCGTGCCAACGTTTCGATCTTTATTGAGCCCTGAAGATGATCTCAATAAAGATCGAAACGTTGGCACGATAAAGAAAATGTTTTTCTGAAACCTACATCACACCAGACCGCATCTCACGATTTCTGAATAATTATCTATTAACGGTCACTAATCACCACATTTTAATATCATGGAAAACAAAGGTAGAAAACTACATTTAAAAAGTGCTTAAATCACTAAAAATATTTTTCTTTTCTCGGCTACCAGGGCCCGAGACCTGTTTAATATTTTTCAACCTAGTATCACTAAAAACGTTTAATTGAAATCGATGATCCGACGTCTGTACTCTCGCTAGTAAGATAGTCTTGATCTCCAATAATTCTAGTAGGTAAACAAAATACACAAATTGATTTAAAATGTATGTTCATTGAAAAGAAAAAGCCGGAAAAAAATTGTTAAAACAGTGAGATGTTGTGAAGAGCTGGGATTTCTGTGTTCTTCATCATGTATTTACTCTGCGTTGTCGCGACACGGGGCGTGAAAGTCGCCATGAAGGCGTACTTGTCCATTCGGTCGGGAATAACTTGGCTAAAGACCTCCAGGAGTTTCTCATTCTGCTTCATTTGTTCGATGAATTCCGAGTATGCTATCCTCCCGTCCCTGTCCTTGTCGATCTTCCTCATCAACAAGTCGACCATGTCCTGGCAGACAAAAAACACGGTTAGTTTTCACACATTCTTCCCCAGTAAGACATGAACGTCCTATCTTGAAATAACCAGTCATTAAATTTACAACTCCTTTTTCTACTGGAGACATACTATTTCACTCGAAAATTAACGGAGCACTAAATACGTTATTTTTTCAATTTTACCTAAGATCTCCAATTACAATAATATACTTCCTCTTATTCAAACATCAAGAAATAAGGGGCTGCTAGATAACAGAATATTGTCTACCATGTCGACAACTCCCTGGTTTTCAACCTAATGAAAAATCGTCAAGCACGGTAATAGTGATGCTTAATGCCTCGGTGTATGTAAATATTACATAAAAAAGATAAATCAGGTAATCAGGTACAAGACGAAATGTGCACGTGTGGTAGCATAGAAACATCGGAACACATAATTAGCACTCTACGAACAGAAACCTACGGACGATGCTGAGTGAAATTGAAAAAGTTTCCCAAAACTGATGATAGAATATTCGAATATTATAAGCTCCTGTTCAAGCGAAGTGTTCACTGCAATAAAAGGGCTTCTT